GAAAGTTTTTAAAATAGTTATAATATGTAGCTATGTAGTGACCCTACACAGCTACATGCAATAGTACCAGGGGTGTGCCCATGGGGGCTAGACCCCCCCCCCCCGTGGATTGACAAAATTTAAAATATATTAGGCGTAAACCACTGATTGTAGAATATTTTTACATGCTAAAAAAATTTGGACCCCCCTCCCCTTTGAAAAAGGGTACACCGAATCAAGGTGTACCCTACTTCCTGGGTACACCCCTGAATAGTACAATACACATTCTACTATCTTAGTAAGTTATGTCATTTTAAAATCTTTCTAAGACCAAGGGACAATTACCGGGACGAGAAACGCAAACATAGTAACCGGAAATAATTTAGACGAATTAATCACTTATCGGATGTTGGTTATTACTGAAAGGTAAAATTACACAATAATTTAATACTATTACATTATAATATTATGTATAACATACCTGTATGGTTCATTGTATTTGTGAGTTATGCACGGCAGCAAATAGTTTGGGTCGAGCGTCACCGCTCACCCGGACTTTTTCAAAAATCGGCCGACTTCTTTATCATCCGCAACGACCTCTATCTCCGTGGATCTAATAACAAAAAAATATAAATAAAGATATTTTTTGGTTTTTAATCACCGCCCCCCCCCCCTCCCCACAGTATGGCAATAATGAAACAAAACGTTTTACTCAACAAGCAGTAATATCTATGAACTATAGACATGGCCGTATATATAGGTACTACAAAAACACTAAATGTATAATGACAGTAATGGAAACTGAAAGCTTTACGCTTAGCATCTGGTCCAGCAGGTCTACTGATTCACTCGATTTAGAGATTATTTTTACTGGGTGTCGAAAATATGGCGACCAAACAACATAACAACGGTTTGACTGTTTGAGAGACCATTATCCAGCCAAAAGAATGCGGACAAGATAGAGAGGCGTTGAAGCCTAAAAACATGGAGCGTGTGTGCATGTGTGTGTGTGCGTGTGGGCGGGGGTGTGTGTGTGTGGGCGGGTGGTCATGTATGCTCGCGGACGTCACCGTTTTTTTCCAAAATTGACCTTTCCGTTTACCGCCAGACGCCAGTACAACCTATGTACATATAAAATCCTAACACCACTTGGTCACTGATCGCTGTAACTCAAAAACTACGCAACGTATGAACTTGAAATTTGGAATAGAGGTTCATCTCATATTTTCACCAGGCATTAAGAAAGGATTTTCAAAAATGTTGCGTTTTAATGGAGTAATTAACAATTATAATTATTCATAGCCAATACCTATTGTGCTGCACGCCTGCACGGCACAGCCTCAAGGCGGCCCCCGGGTTTCCAGCTAAGCTGCAACGTATCCTTTTTGTCCGAAGGTCAACAATTAGAATTGTTCCAAGAAGTTTTAGGGATATATTGTAAAAGATTGATGAAAAAGAAAATATATTAATATTTTCATGCAACACAAATCTTAGATTTTTTTCAACAGTTGATAATATTTATTTATATAAGCGGTACTTTCGATTACAGTGCTCGGTTTTTTTTACAATTTTTTTCAATAGTTTTTATCGACATTCGCCCTATATTTTACAATGGTTAAATGTTTTAATTGAAGAAGTCTAAACTGACCTAGGGACGGGTGGGCATGTATGCTCGCGGACGTCGCCGTTTACCGCCAAAATCGACCTTGTAAAACGTATATATACGTGGGTATGCATATACAATTATAAATTAGGTATCGTTTATAATATTATTTTAATTGTGAAAATGTAATAGGTACAACATCATGTTTTAATTTTTAATGGTGTTAAGAATTTGAATGTAAAAATGAAAATGTTTAAATTTCCAATAACGTTTATACTGCCAAAAACATTAAACATAAAAAATGTATAACGTTTTAATTTTAAGTAACGTTTAACACAAAAATTGTTTAACACATTGACGGACATTACTGCTATAGCAGTAATATGAAATTGTTATGTGGTGTGGCGTTACTGCAATAGCAGTAATATGAAGAATTGTGTATTATGGCATTACAGCTATAGGAGTGATATTTTCAATGGTATCAAATTATAGAGGACATTAAACTGCCACATCAGATTACTTTAGATAGGTATTGGGGCACTGGCATATTTCAAGGGAAATTATACAAATTAATATTGGTTTGATACTAAATAACGTAAAACGAAATTTTTTTTAAAAATTCGAACCCTGAAAAAATCTTTATGACGTATAGAAAATGCCAGTATAAACATCCTGTGAAAATTGAATGTATCTACAGTTATTTTAACAGTTACAACAAAAACCAAAATCGATTTAAAAATTCCTGTTCTTTAAAAAAAATTTTTTGTTTTTTTCCAGAACTTCTGTAAACTACTTTGAATTTTAAATGCTGACCTTCCGAATGTACCAACTAGATTCTAGATTAGATCCACTTGAAAAGCTACTGAAATTGAAAAATGAAGCATTATTTCTACTACTTGTTGACAACACAAATGCAAATAATAATTTTAAAAAATACACATCATTGTATATCATTGTATTATTAATACATCTAAACAAATTTATATTATTATTTTATTAAAAGTTTTAATAGACTATCATTTGAAAGTATGTATTAATACATTTACAAAATAAACTTATGGGTAATCCAATATTATAATTTATAATTTATTAAGTTATAAATATGTAAAATAATTATAGGTATGAACTACCTAGTATGTAAGTTTGGCATAATTATTTAAGTATTCTCATTATTTATCATTTTAATACATTTATATAATAGTATTTGTCGTTCATGCAAATTAGTTTTATCTATATTTAAAATTATTAAAGAAATTTAATAAGTAAAATATATGAACTCAATATTATTATTCTTTAGGTATATTAAATAACTAACACTTATTTGAATATTATTTTGACTAGAAGAAATTTAAATATTAAACAGGAAAGAACCAAATTTTTCTTAGAATAGCAGGCTGCATAAAATGTGATTTCATTATTCTGATTTGATTCTAAAATTCTATCATTTGTATTTATTAATTGAAAAATAAACTTATTAGTTAAAGTTTTACAACTTTATTTCAGTTCTATTTTATTTGTTCCCTATTTTTCTATTTCTTGATGAAACCATACAATTTTTGATTAAACTAGATTTTATGTTCAACTAGAAATACATGACAAATTAAATACACATACACCATAGTTTTTACAAGGTTAATAATACTCTACTATTTAAATATATTTCAAAACATCAATTATGAAAAGTTTTGTTAATACTTCAATAGGTACACTTTATAGTTTAATGTAGATAATTTAAGAATTCTTAAATTTTATATATTAGTTAATATGAAATGTCGAAATACCTAATATTGATTGTTGGCACCAATAAAGATATATATATATAATTATAATTTTCATTGAATGGAAAATGTCTGAATTTCTATGATTATTGCCAGCTAAAAAATTGTTTTAGATACTTTTTTTAGAATATTTTATTAATGGTATGAGAATTATTGAATCTACAAAATTTAACGAACATATTTCATCATTAAATGATAACTTTAATTTTAAAAAAATACCCCACATCTTCTATAAACCCAAAATATCTACTGATGTGTACAACATTGGCTTCTTAAAAACTTTGGCCAATGGTGTGATTCTGGATTAGTTAAATTGAACATAATTTGGGGTGGCAGAGTAAGCATTTGGGCATTTGGCCCCCCTTGTCATTAGAAGGCCACTAAACCTCTCAAATATGATTCATTGAAAAATAATATTTAATCATAATTTGTGTCTTATATAAATAATTATTGGCCATTTGTATAAAATTATGTGTTTATAATATAATATTTAATATATTCGGTAATAGAAGAATTATAGTCTATAGCAGTAGATAATATATCTACGCATTTGGATTAGCCATTTTTTGATGTTTCAGTTGCATATATTACACGAAGACTATTTGTGTTGAGATAAAAACATAATTGTAATGTAATTTAATTGTTAGAGAGCAGTTTTTCTTCAGTTTTATTATGGGCTAATCAAAATGTTTGCTAAGTGCACTACTAAGTGTAATAGATTTTGTTTGTACAGTATTAAATAATTTATAATATTATTATCGAAGACGTAACAGTTGTTCGTGTAAGGTATGTTTTCAAGCAAAAATTCAAATCACATGTAAATAATTCATATTATCAAAACCACAAACATGATGCTTTACATAATATATACTGTATATACTCACATATTAATAAAAAAAAATATTTTTTATTATATATGTATTTGATATTTTATTTTTGAAGTTTATAATAATTAGTAAATGAATAAATGTTAATTGAATAAAAATAAAAATATAATACATTGAATAATAAAAGTAGTAATAATATTAATAATAATAATAATAATAATTAATAGGTAATATAAACAGTAAATGATTTGGGTAGTTGGAAGGGGGGTGACATGGGAGACAGAGTCCCCTTTATTTTTTATTGGGTCCCCCTTCTAATTTTTTCCAAATCAAGCACTGAATTTAAACTAATTAATCAAATCAATTATCTATAGACTGTAGATTCTACAATAAGTACATGCAATACAGGTTTAACTAGTTGTTTACACTTCTAAAGAAAAAATAATGTAATAAAACTAAAATTTCTATGATTACACACTTTAATATACACAGCAGAATTAAAAAAATACTTAAGATATGCATTTATTTAAATCAGTAAGCAATAAAATGTTAAGTTTTATTTTTGAACAAAATATGTCTAAGCTAATAAGTATGTAATTACAGTGTTTGGAAAGAATGTCGTTCGTGAACACATATTCGTTAACGTTAATGTTCATATTTAGTGAATGTTACTCAGATTAATTATAAATATGATTGATTTTAAAGTTATTTTAAAATAATAAATCAAATATATATTCTGATGAGAAAAAACATGAGCAAATACTAAAATATATTGTACACAATTTAAGATTAATAGAAAATTAAATAAATGGTTCAATCTAATGTTATGACACATATAACCGGTCTTGGTTTAAATTTTTGTTGATTTTCATTACCTTTACTCCTAACAGAGGTACTTGCTTCACACTCATTGATATTGGGCAAGTTTGTATTGTTTAGAAGGTTTGATCCCATCAATGATGCCGTTGGTTCTATCTTCTCATTATCAAAATTGTCATGAATTTTATCTTCATAGGAATCAATGGACGTTATTTCTTTTTTATTTGAAAATGGACAATTGTTTGTTATTAAATTGTCTCTATACAATTTAGTTTCACTAGGAGCCCATGTGCCATCATTATATAAAATAATATTTTCACATTCTTCGCTCAATTTTGAACTTTGAAGTATTGTTAAAAAAAATTCATCAATTTCAATGTCTTCAAATTTAACTTGTTTCCTACATATTGGGCATGACCATGTTTGCTTTTTTTCATTCATCTGTAAGAAGTACATTGCATCAAAACACTGCAAATGTTCACATTTTTTACCTTTGGCTGGTAGTTTCATTCTTAAAGTGGTTATTGGATCCTTTAGGGTAATAATCCACAAGCTTACACTAGGATCACAATTATTTTTAATGAATTGTTTAGTTAAATCAGAGCTACGTAAATTTTTCTTCTTAAGTTCTACAAGTAGATGTTCGGCTGTTAATTTTTTAGATGAAAAAGTAGATTGTGTAGAATCATGATGATATTTTTGTAAAATTGTCTGCAATTTTATAATGTGTCTATTCAGCGGTTGTTGCAGTCTTTTATGTTTTGATAATAGGAATTGCACAATTCTCAGTTCCAACTCCAACGTTGCACGAGGAGAAAGTAAAAATTTCAAAAATCGTCTTTTATCGTTGGAACCAGATTTACTATCGTTAATACTTTTTAAAATCATTTGTTGTTCATCATGTTCCAATTTCAACGCCAAGGCAGAAATGTAATGAATCTCCTCCTAAAACCAAATAACAATAAAAAATTATAATACAAAAAGTAACTAAGGGTAGAATAAGATAGTAAGATAATAAGATAGGTAGAATAAGAATAATTTGTTATGTATTAAATATTAATAACTCAAATTATTACTTCATCTACATGGATACATTGTTTATTGTATAGTAACTTTTAATCAATTGTATACCAATTTGCAATAATATGTACTCCTTAAACAGTATGCCTAAACAGCTTTTTCCCCATATATTTTTAATGGTAAGCTACCCACCAAAAAAAAAAAATTATTTCTTATAATTTATTTAACAATTATTATTATTATTATTATTAATTTGTGTTACACCGACGTGAGTCCTGCTACAATTATTTGTATGTCAACTTGTTGTTTTTGGAACTGTTGGAGAGCAGAGAATGGATAATTTGGGTGGTATTTTACTATAACAAGATGCAAATAATCGTGCCATCTTTCACTCATATCGTTATTTTTATGTGAGCTATGCTGAGTTCCTCAGTATTTATTCTGATTGTCTGGTGGGAACTGTGAATAAAGAGATATTCCTCCAAAATTAATGTCTTGCCAGAGTCTTTCACTTATTTTATAAATTTTGACACATAACAACTAGGTACAACAATATCCGATTATAAGTATTTTAGACAGTGAGACTTAGATGTTGACATGTTGTTTCTGTATTCGTTAGATTTGAAATAATATACAATATAATTTAATCTAATACCTATGTCAAAAATGATAAAAATTATGAAAACAAAAATGGTGTTTAAAATTTAAAAATAAGTAAGTATAGTCTATAGTTCGAAGTATAGTTTGGGACACAAACAGCACGAAGGTCACACCTTACATGACCACAGAACATTGGACAGATATTAAGAAAAGTAGACAAAAATGTAAAAATTGATAAGTGCCATAAATGCTACATAGTATTATCAGAAATGCACGGGCGAGCCATGTACAAGCTGGCTGGATGTACAGTATGCGGTCCGACGACTAGGCCTTCTCTCTTGTTTATGATGTTGAACATAGACAACTCTAATAGTACAGAGTTCCCGGACGGTAAATGGGAAGTATTCATATTAGTATTTATATCTAGTCCTTTAATAGTCCCACGACAGTCGACAGCACCTCGTAAAATACAAGTACGGTGGATCCGACTGGCCTATACGCGCATTGGCGTATAGGTAATACAATCTTACGACAACCGCCCCAATAGTGCACGTAAATAAAAAATATTAACCATAATTTGAAAGTTAATTAGAAGGCCTTTGGACATCCGGAAAGTATTATTCATATGCGTAAGAAATATTATAGTTCAATACATTAACATGATAATAATTGGACAAATCAATATACACATACCTTACTTAACGGTGAATCTGCCATTGCAAAATTATATTTATAACGTCTAAATATTGACACTAAATGAAATACAATAATTAATGAGGCAATGAGTAAGTGAGTAATGGCTGAAAAATTGACTGGACAGTAAACAATTATCACTGGAACAGTATCAACAATCAGTATCATGGAACAAAAACAGGAACGCGTATATTGTTCGAAAATATTTTAGCCGAAAAACATTTTATCCGAAAAATATATTTTGAGAAAAGTATTTTTTTAGAACTATATTTGATACGAAAACTATAATATCAGAAACCTATTTTAGCCGAAAAATATTGTCATAAAAATAATATAGCAGAAAATATTTTATATGAAACGTGTTTCATCCGAAACATATTATTCGAAAATATTTCATCAGAACCATAATATTTTAGCCGTAAACAGTATGTTGCTAAATGGGTGGCCTAACCTAAGGAGTCGAAATCAGTAAACCAGAGTTATTGCAATTTGGAACCCATATTTTAATTTCCATTTTTTATTTTAAACTTAAACAATACTTTATGTGGTTAACCTAATAATCTTAATGATGAAATAAATTAAGAAATTTAAAAATATTTACATAGGGGTATTATAAACGACACTAGTAACGTTGAATCAATTTTTACCTAAGCAAACTTTTATTTCGTTCTAAAGACATGTGTGTATTTTAAACCATTTCTTAAGGGAAAAACCAAATTATAATATTATCTGATAGGTACTAATTTTACAAACCAATGCTTTTATACAAAACTTAAAATTTGGCTTTTGAGTTTGATTAAGTAAAACCTATTGTTTTTTTATATACTAACCAAGCCATAGCACCCGAATCATTATTATTCGGGTATAGGGTTTTGTGTGCTGTATGTACTCGAAATACGTATGTTCAAACACCAAAATAAAAAATTTAAAAAAAACGTTTAATCACTTAATAACGACTGTGAAACATTAGTGAAAACTGAAAAGTGAAGGATTTTTTTTTTTGATCCCTCAAAGCACCAACCTTAGCCTGATTTGGTATGTTTAATATTTTTTTTTGTAAATTCATTTTTCTTTACAGGTGCGTGTATTTATAATTGTATTACTAATTTTATCCTAAAAACTTGGTTTTGAAAGTGATATTTTTTTTAATGTGAGGGTGGTATCCTCCTGGCCCCTTGCAAAGATTTATAGCCCCCCCCCCACACGGTCCACTTTGCCATTATTGAAAAGGACATGACAAATTGGGTGAGAATCTTAAGTAGGTCACATTCACATTCGGAATGGTTGAGAACCTCTGTAATAGAAGATTAGAGAATAGAGAAAAATTTGGTTTCAATGAGATCAACACACAATTATGTGGTTTGATTTAAATAAATCTACTCAAAAATACAAAATAATAATAAATAAGAGACACTATACTAAACCGACCTTCAATGAAATGATATTAATATACCCTACATTTATTGTGTATTGCTAATATATTTATGTACATCTATATTATAGTAATTATACAGCTACAATGCTACATACATGAATACACATTCAATGAATAAGCTTCAAAAATGTAATACTATGTCAATGATGTACAGAGCTATTTGTTTTCGCACAAACTGCCCATTATAATACACATATCAACACAATTCTTTCTGTGGTTAGATTTAAATGAATTCACAAAATAATAAATAAAAGACAATATCTTAACCTGACTATTAATGCTCAATGTTATGATATACCTAATATTGTATTTCATAATCAATACACTCTAAATTGAATAAGTGACGGTAAATAGTATATTGCTTATATATTAAATAAATGAACTATTTATTTGATGCAGAACCATATACATATACTATTATGCATAATCCATAGTGTACCTACGCAATACAAATATTTTAGTTTTTTTTAGAACAGAAATTGCTATGTATTTGCATTCAATAGCATGATATTTACATATTTTTGTTAACTATAAGCAATAAAAATAATGGCCATATCCTACGGATTTCATAAATTAAACAATGTTTATTGCAGTATTCGCTTATGAATACAAACGGCTTAAATGCTCAAATTTTCCTGTCTGAAAGCATCTGAGTAGGTGTCCCGCAGGTTTAGACGTTAGGCAAAAGTCGTAGGTATGTGAGAAAAATTGCAGCCGTCTTTACCACTGTAGAATTGGAAGCACGACTGCCCAGATTTTTTGCATTTCTTTTCCGGTTTTTTTTTCATAATTTTTCCAAGTTCCAATGATAATATTTTCATTGTTATCTGCATTATTACTGTAATTTGTAAACATAATCTTCGTGGTGCTTACATTATGAAATAATTACAAAAATACTTATACTACCGTCTATCCGTATGATTAGAATATCTTTGGTGTATCATATTGAATACAATAACCTACTTGCGATCTTTATTTTCTATACATTATGTGTGTATAATATAGGTATATACAATCAATTTTACTCATAGACGCTGAACGGCGGGTCTGCAATCCACCACAGGTGGATTGCTTACCTGATTAGCTATAGGACATTGTCTGCGATCCGACGAAGTCGGATTGCTTACCAGGCACGGCATTAGAATTTTTTTCCAGGAGGGGGGCAAAGTGGGGCAAATATTTTTTTTACATGGGCTAAAATTGTTTCAGCAAACGCTGAGGTTATTTAAATGAAATATAAATATTTTCGTATCATATAACATAATATAGCTATTAGCTATATAGTACATAGTACATACGTTTTATATTGTATGCTCTAAACGTCTAAACAGGTAATATATACAAACTTTTGAATAGTTAAAAATGTTTTAAGAATAATGTCAAATATTCTTTTTGTTCCTTATGTAATATGTAAGAAAATGTTTAATCAGAGACCTTCAACAACTATATTTATAATGATAACATGATATACAAAAATGATAATTTTTTTATGACTTTAATATTACATACCTTTGTGAATGAATAATTATGTTTCTTTTACTTACCTACATTTCATAAATATAAATTAAAGGATGTGTTTAGTAATGAACAGATGAATTTGTTTCAATCATCTTTAATGCAATGATTTGGGATACATTTATTTGTTTATTTTCATCAAGTTATTATTACTCAATAAAGGTAATAATAAATAAATAAAAGATTTCTTATTTTACAAATTTCAAAACACATTTTATAGATATTGTAGTAAATTTTTTCCTCATTAGACAAATAATAAATTTAATTTATTCCTCAATTTTTTTTGTTATGACAAATATATTAAATAAGCTAAATATTTGTTTTTTATACAATATCTGTTTATGCACCATACAGTAAATGATTGAAAAACTTATAATATTGAAAATGTTAACAAAAATGTATAACAATTGCACTGATATCAGTAGGAATACAATTTGTTTTAAATAAAAACTAGTACATTTCAACATTTTAATTCAATACATTTTTAAATTGGTATTAGCATAGTAGTGTATGTATTGAAGTACCTACTTTATATTTTTTGTTGAGTTTTAGTTAAACTATTACAAAACTATTGTAAATTTATCAACAACAACTTCTAAATCTAAGTTATTGGCAATTTTTTTTTCTATAGATAAAATTGCTATGTTTGTAAGCCTCTTGTTGGTCTTTTTATTTCTCATGTAATTTTTAATTTGTCTCAAACTGGAGAAAATTCTTTCAACCCCAGCACTAGATGGTGGAATGATTATGGATATAGTACAGAGTATATACATTTCAGAAAAAGCTAATTTATATTTTTCAAGTAATTGCATTAAATCAAGTATATTTTTTATCTGAATATTGTTTTCAACTTTATATCGTTTGATAACTTTTGTATCTAGTTTTAACTCTGATTCTAAGCTTTCTATATCTAACTTATAGTGTTCTGCTAAAGGTTTAATATTTGATCAATTTAAAAATGAGTCACTTTTTGGGTTGAGGGAACTTATACCTGTTAAAATTGCATTATTGTCTGAAAATCTTCTATTGAGTTCATTAACCATTCGATCAAGGACTGGAAAAAATATCATTGTCTTTATATCGTTGCAATCACTAATTTGTCTATTTTCAGCAATTGCTACTTCAGTTAGATATGAAGAAAATTGTTTAGGAAATTTGCGGAACCTTGTTTCTTTAACTGTTTCATTAGGGAGTTGAATGTTATTTTTTGTGCACATAATTCAACTTCTTTCAAAAGATCTTCAAATTTGTTAGATGTATTTCTTAAATCCATTAGATAATTAATTAATGATTCTACTAGTAGACAGCTAGAACCCAAATCTGAATCCTGGTTTTTGTAAATAATCTAACACAATTTTTATCTCACTAAATGTATCACAAAATAAGTAGAGACAAAATATAAATTCAAAATTAATGTGAAAAAATAGTGATAGCCTCCATTTGTTTTTCACTTTTGGTTTTTAAGCTTATTTGATGTAATAAAAGTAATTTCACTGGAAATGTTTTTTTTCACAGCGATGCAAGCAGAAATTTGACATATCCATCTAGTTTCACAAAGCCTTTTTAGTTCCATATTTTCTTTTTTTGGTAAATATTTATTTTGAAGTTGTATGAATTTAGTATGAACAGTTGACCTACTAACAAAGTTGTACAATTGTTGAAGGAGGGCAATAAATGTTTCTATTTCAGGTATATTTTCACATGCATCAACTATCACTAAATTTAATCTATGGATAAAACAATGTGTGTAGAGTGCTTGAGGAACATGCTGTTGAAAAATTGATTTAACCCCGTTTTGTTTTCCACTCATCACAGATGTACCGTCATACGTTTGAGCTATACAGTTTTTTATATCTATTCCACAGTCTGTTAGTATTTTATTTATGCAGTTAAAAAGTGCCTTTGCATTTAATTCATTACTAGGTACACACCCTAAAAATCTTTCATTCGTAGTATTATTGTGATATTAACGAACCATAACAGATAACTGCTCAGTTTTGCTGATGAATTTTGCCTCATCTGCAAGAATAGCAAAATATTTGGCTTCTTTAACTTCTTTTGCAATAGTTTCTAACACTAATTTACTCATTACATAAAATAAATCATTTTGAATAGTATGATGAGTATATTTTGCATTTTTTGGTAAAACATCAATTTTAGCTTTAAATTTTGTGTCTCTCCTAGCACAAAGTTCTAGAAGTTCTAAAAAATTTCCCCTGTTAAGGCTTTCTGCCCCTTCATCGTCACCACGTTGGGCAATATTTTGACAAGCTGTGAATAATAATATTTCTGCTATAACTGATATGTAGTATCAATTTTCTTTAATTAAAGATATATTTTTCTCATTTAATGTTGACAAAATTGATTTTGTTTTTTTAGAGTTATTATACCCTTTCACTTCATCATGCAAGTTTTATGTATACATGATTTATTATTCCTGCATTTTTATCAAGAGCTTTTTTCCAATTTTTAAATCCAATTTTATAAAACCGTGAATTATCAGACTCAGAAGAAAAAAATCTACAAGGAAAACAATAACGAGCATTATCTAATGCACTGTATTCAAGCCAAGGATATGATTTAAACCATTCGGGACGGAATGGTCTCCATTCTTTTCCAAGCTTGGATTGCGGGTAATTTTTCAAAATTGATTGTATTGGTTGATCACTAAGTATATGTGTTTTATCACTAGGTCCTATTTTAGAAACGTTTTCTATTTGAATCTCAGTTACCTGTTTTTGGTATAAGTGTTCTGGATCAAGGTTTTTTATTTCTTGTAGATCGTTTAACTGTTGACAATCATCTGAATCTAATGAATGATTATCGTAGTTGTACGAACACTACTGTCATAATTGCTTTGTATTTCCCAATCTTCATTTTCTGTTACATTATCGACTTTAAGTTTCTTATTTGTTGTGGTTTCTGTCTCTGCCTTTGTTGCATATGAACTTGGTCCAAAAAACGAATCAATTTTTCGGCGGCAGCTCATTAGAAATCTAGGAAGTCCCCCCCTCCGATATAATGGACGTCCCCCCCCCCCCCGACAAAAATTCTGATAATATAGTTCACGGAAATTAAAAAATTTTAAACATCACCATTTGAAAAACTTTCTCACAACTTTTTTAACCTGCCGTCTTTACCTAAATTATAACGAAAAGCTCCTACTCAATGATTTAAAATGGTCATTGATGCACTGAGTTACTTTGTTACTCATATTATGTAGATTGTAGAGCTTCAATGAAAACTTGAATGATGTTAGTCAATAAATGCCGATATGATGATGTATATTTTGGGTAAAACTAAAGAAACTATTTTCCAACCTAGTTTTATGTGTGAAAAAATATGTATTGATTCTGGTGGGGAATGCCTCTGTCCGGGGGGAAACGTCCAGTACCGCTAAAATTTACCGTGGTAGGGGGGACGTCAAAGTACCGCTCACTTGACATCACGATCACAGCATAAGTTCTTGTAACAAATATTCTGTTATTAAACCCGATTTTATTTTATATACCTAGTTGTTCCGTTCCCTCTATTAAAGGGGCCTATTCTCAAAGCAATAAAAAAGTTTTTCGATCACCGATCAGTCGAAATACTTTTGATTTTCACCAAAGAACGTATTTTCAAAGTTTTCGACTGATTTTTCGATCGCTGTATTCGATGTAAAACTTCGACTACTGTAAAAACCCAGTCGACTAGTAGGTTTTTGACTGTGATGGGTATTACCTATTATCAGGGATGGGCCAGATACTCAAAAATCAGTATCGAGATACTAGATACTCGATACTTACATTTTAAATATTAAGATACTCGATGCTCGATACATTTGAAAAAATTAGTCATAGCTTACGTCTCATAGGATTTTTTTAAAAAAATTTTTATACACAATTAGGTAGGTTGTGAGACAAATGCATTTAACTTTAAATTTTCAAATATTAGGAGAGTATAAATATATTATATTAAGTCAATCGTTAAATAAAATAAATAAATAATAATAAAAATAAATTATAGATATCATCATATCGAATAGTATATGACACGACAATAAATGTTAATGCATTTAACTTTAAAGTTAAACATCCCTAGTTAACATTACTAATAAATAAAATAACACTCCCTGTAACTCTTACCACATAACACACACACACACACACACACACACACACACACACACCACATATTCCACACATCAATAACACGAATACAAAATTTAAAATTCAAATATTATATTAGGTATATATTATCTTAAATTAAATTGTCATTGTTATCGTTATTTAATAACTAACTTGATGTAACATGTAATATGTTGATACATTTTAATTTTTAATAAATGAAAAAAAAAAAAAAAACTTTAAAGTTTCAAATATTAATTAAGAGGATGTCAGCGCACCATTTGTTTTCTCTTTTTGGCCCACGCGTGATATGCATAAACTACATTTACGCAGAATCATTTTTTCTGTGTTTGTAAATAATCTTAGAGTAAAATCACCCATTACAAAAAAGATAGAGAATAATATTTTTGAGGGAATTTCATATTGATTTTATATTTTATTGGAATTTGACTTTGTATTCGACTTTCAAAATAAACAAAAATATGTTGTACATTTAAATGATATTTAAATTGTTTTGAGAAAATGTTTAGACAAATCGATATGTCATTCTCTCAAAAATATTGTTCTCTATTTTTTTTGTTATGGGTGATTTTACTCTAAGATTACTTAAAAACATAGAAAAAATGATTCTGCGTAAATCCGTTTTGTCTATGTTGCGCGTGGACCAAAGAGAGAAAACAAATAGTGCGCTGACATCCTCTTAAGTATAGATAATAGTATAAATATATTATTATAAGCCAATTATTGTTAAACTACATGAATAAATAAAAATAAAAATAAAATATAGATAGGTATCATATCATATTCTTATGTCCTTTTAAAAATACTCATTTTTCAAAAGTATTGTCGGATAATTTATTTTATTTATTCCTGGTAGAATTATGAATCGAGTATTTTTTGACAACATTATTTTGTGAAATACTCGATACATTGTCTAAAAATGTATCGCGATACTCGATACTCGATATTTCATATAATTGTATCGAGATACAAGATACAAGAACAATATTGTATATTTGTATCTAAGATACTTATCGAAGATACTACCCAACCCGGATTATTATACATCAAAACAACTTTCTGTTTTTATCTGATATTGCGGATTATTTTTGTAGAAACTTTGTAGGTAGTTAGTAAGTACCTATGTACTTAGTTCATTTAGTTCTACTCCCTTACAAATGTACAAAAATTGGAAATAAAATACATGGCAAAAGCTGTTTCGCACGGGATAAAACCAATCAGGGCTGTACCTAGTCCAAGCTAAGCAACCAAATTTTCATACGATTTAGAGGAGAACATTTACTGCGTAACGTCGTTTTTTTTGATAACTATCACAAATAAAACAAAAAGTTATTCGAGTTTGAAATAATGAATTTTTAAACAATAAGAACTTTTCTTGTATTTATGATACCGAAAAAATAAAAACGATGTTTCACTGTAAATGCTCGCCTAGTCTCCTCTAATAGAATGCAAATTTGGTCGCTTAACTTGGACTACAACCCGAGTGGTCCTATCCCGTGCAAAACATTTTTCGCTATGTTAGACTTCTGTAAGACGAATATAACACATATAAATTAGGGTTATCAAAGACTGAAGTATCCGACAGCGAACACGTGCCGTACTCGCACAGACGCAGTCATATACTCATATCCCGACGAAAAGTCAATTTGAGTTTCAATTCAATTTTTATTAGGTATTTAATATCCAAATGTCTCTACAGCTAGTGTACCTAATTTGTCTGTGTAGTTTGATTTTTAAATCTCCCGGCGAAATATATAATGTAGTAGGTACTAGGTAGGTAGTTCAAAGTTCTAGATTTTAATGATAGGTAATTAGTAGAGTACGGATTTTAAATCTTCCAAAACAGCTTTAAAAAAAAGCATTAAAAATAGATTTTAAAAAAATATTTATCACAAAAAAGTATTAAAATTATTTTAAAAAAAAGGTATTATAATAAACTTATTTACAAGCCTTCGTATCCGAGTTTTCCTTCCACAATTATTAATCTGTAAATTAAATTTATTAACTTAACTGTAATTCTGTTCAGATAATTTCCAGAGCAAGAGCATATTTTTGTGTTTATTGTCGTTTCAATATAAAATAATCTGCTATAGGTATACAATATACTATATACGTATTTAAATTACATCGATAAACGTATCCATAAATCAAACATAACGAGGTAAAATCGGTTTAGCTAGGCGCTAACCATGTACAATATTCGATATTGGAAAACACATTATTTAATATAAAAATAAAAATTAACATTTTGAATAAGTCTATTTGGAACACATTTCAAAAAAATGTCCATAAAAGCCAAACAAATCCCAAAAAATTTCAAAAAAGTATAATTAAACAAAAAACTTTTTAAAAAAAAATCAAAATAAAATGTCGTGCATATTAGTATAGTATATAGAATAAGTCGAATTTTTAGCTGACATAGCTTCGTTGTAGAGCAATAGGGAAAAAAGGCAAGTGCCTTCAAAATCCGTACTCAAGTAATTAGCAATAAATAACTACAAAATTGATTGTATTACTTACTAGTTACTACTAATTAAATAAGTAAAATTTGAGGTGTGATATAATGTATTATTATTATTTGTTGAATGTGGTACGACTGTACCCACACAATGTTCAGCTGTTAATGTTATAGGTTAAAAAGTAGTATCGTTCTCTTTAAGTTTGTTTTTTATATTATATACTGTTCTGTTAAATTACTATAATGTGTTCGTTTAATTAAAAATGTTGTGTCTTGTCTGTCTTTATAAATTAAAATAAAGTTCAGCAACCGCCAACCATACTTAACGATGTTATTATTACTAAATACAATTTGAATTCTTGTAACAATATACAAATAAAACATGGCGCAGTCGTAAATCTTGTAGTTGTTTGGATTCAAATGGATGAAATCTGTAACTTTGCATGCGGTTGGTGTTGATGAGTGTGGCTGAATAAAATAAATAATAAGTCAAAATGGAATTTAATAAGCCAAATCCACTAATAATGTCCGGCAATCTGGCCGAAAACTTCCGCACGTTCCGGCAAAGTGTTCAGATTTACTTTGACGCAACTGAATCACATTTGAAAAGACCGGTGACACAGGTAGCTATAATATTAAATTTATTGGGCCCTGAAGCATTAAAAATTTATAACACATTGAAGCCTACAGAGAATATTGTCATTGAAGTATTAAGGGCCTTGGAGGAATACTGTATCCCTAGAAGAAATCAAACAATGGAGTTATATAAATTCTTTACCAGAAAGCAATTAGAAGGCGAAAACTTTGATAAGTTTTATTCGGATCTGAGAGATCAGGCAAGGTCTTGTGAGCTAGGGGATTGCGAGGATAAATTAGTAAAATCGCAAATCATTCTTGGTGTTGCTGATCGAGACTTGCAAGCACAATTACTCCGTGAAGACCTGTCTCTGGAAAAGGTAGTACGTCATTGCAAGGCAAAAGAACAAATGGAGATCAACAGGAAACTAGTACAGGATGAAGTCAAATTAGTCTACAACGTCGAAGATGGTCAAAAGAAACATCAAAATACAAAAGGAAGACATTTCGAGCAGAGGACAACACAGACTGGCAGTGGCAAAGGATGGTCAAGCAAAACTCAGTCAAATCAGTATAGCAGCTCAGATAGGGTATCAAGTAAGAATAATTGTAATAAGCCAAATGTAAAAGGTGTAAATTATATAAATGACTGTAATAGATGTGGTAGATCGCACAAAGTAAGGGAATGTCCTGCTTATAAAAAAAATTGTAGTAACTGTGGTTTATTAAATCATTTTAAAAACAAGTGTAGATCAGGAAAAAGTAAAATAGAAAATCAAGTTGATAACTTAGAAATGGAATTCTCAATAGATACTTTGGAGGTGA